AATTTTTAAAAGACATTGATCTTAGATGCACAAAATGACTACCATTGAGCTGGGATGCGTATATAAAATGTTTTTGATCTGCCATGTTGTTATTGAGAACCGTCTCGAAATCCGGTCATTGTTCTATTTAATATGATCTTGTTTTAGGCAGTTTTCAATCTCACTATGTTTACCGACGCCCCAACTTCGGCCCGGGTAATTTCGGCGCACCTCGCCCACCCGGTCATCATCTATCACATGGCACATATCAGTCATCTCATGCTTGGCGCACACCAACTAGTAGTCGATGGCCCTCTCCTCGCTTACCTCAGTCCAGTTCAAGTTCGACTGCTGGAGCCAATCAGACACCGGAGACCGGAGTACCAGGATTCTCATTTCGTGCACTGGAGGCGCAGTTACAGTTAGACACGGTCAAATCAGCCGCGGAACTCGGGTTCACTGACACCGAGGCCTATACCGCTCCGGGAGATTTGTCCCAGAAAGACCTGTTAGCTTACCAACAGAGTGATGTAGAAATGTTTGAGATTGGATCAATACCACTAGATTCACCACCTAAATCTCTTTGTACATAGTTTTGATACAACTGATCAATCAGAGATTCCTTTTTATACTGTCGCACTATACCCTTTTATTATTGAATTCAGTTATGTTGTCATCTAAATTCCACCAATCCGATGTGCACAGCATGTTGAATTTCGCCGTGAACAGAACAAATGAATGGTGAACTGAAAAGCTGGAAAGCACCGGACAGCTCCTTTCACCTGGTTGAGCCGTCATCATCATCACGACGAAACTCAACAAATGCTCCAACCAAATCCTCCAGTACTCTTGTGCATGGTATATATATGAGCTATGGGGTAGGGACTTCGGATCTCTGTCGATTATCCCTTTTCTCTTTGATGTTGTCATTGTTTGTGGCATACTTGTCCAATGATTGACCAAATCTGAGATTCAACCACTGAGCAATACAGAACGCCTCGAGAAATGTATATCCACTGGATGCAACATACAGGAAAGTCTAATAACTCAAAATAAAGTAAGCAAATTAAGAAATTAGCCGTGCATCGAAAGTGTTCAATATGACACGAGTATATCATGGAATCTCAAATGACGCGAATAGATTCAATAGGTGTTTGGATACATTTTCCTCTGATTGTTGTTTCCCATTCGACGCATGTATCTAGTCTTGCTGTTTTCTAAATAATACTTTAATGTGATTAACAGCAGGCAGGGAAATCCCCATAGTCATGAGGACCTGCTGTTCACTGATGGAAACCGTTAACCCAAACCTGCGGGACTTGGAGTGGGGAACCACATAAGGCCCAGCTTCGCTCAATGTGCCCCCTTGTACAAAACGACCCATTGGGCTCAAATGCGATGAGCGTAGGGGTACCCGTTATTACTTTGTAATCCATTTCTTCCCATGTCTTTCATTAAGGTAGGCCTCTACATCGCAATGGTAGTGCAGAGATGTCCCTACCTGTAGGAAGTGTGACTCCCCCTGTTCACAGGCATTGTTTTTGATTGTGTGGCATGATGAATTCCTGTATGTGATATTAAAGTCATGAGTACAAGCATGTATCAACACTTTTGTGATACTATAGTTATTATTTTCGGATGAGACGTAAGTCATCTACAGACTGAGTAATCCTACCTCCCCAATATTGTTCTAATCTTATTGCCAAATGCTTTAAGCATCCTTTACCTTTTTGCGAGGTTGCGTTTATGTGAGGTCAAGAAATTCGGCGTTTTATCCGACCACCATATGGGTTCGAACCCTGTCCCGGTCAAGTTACTTTTTATCCCAGGGGGGATGTACGTGGTGAATGAAAAATGCTTTTGGCGTATCTCCATACAACCGAAAAAGTACATGCCATAATTAATCAAGTAAACGGTGTGAGTCTTGTCACTGTCTGTATACATTAGAAAGCGAGGTTCATTACGTAAGCGCTTTGCAAACGAAGCAGCCACGCAATCAACGAGCACATTTTCACGTTTCATTTAGTAAGGCAAAAGAATCCCACACTACCGATGACTATCCGAGTTGCCATAGTGAACATTGTTGTTTACAAGGTTTCAGGACTGAGTATAAGTATGATTGTGATAACAATCACAGATCAAGGAATGTTATCGGAGTTTTTCGAGAGTTTAAAATTGTTTATCCGCGGGAGAATATCGTACAGACTGGGGGACAATTTCCACTTGCTGTGTTTAACCAAATAACAGGTGCAGAGGCCAGCGCTGCATGACGACTGTTTGTTTATCCAGTGCCAAAAGCATCAAGCTCTGTTACGGGGAAATAGGATGACAATATCCCGTGTGGCCGAACGCCTCATTGTATTCTGAATGAACCGAATTAAAAAAAAAATACATCAGATGAAATGCTTTGTGGAATAACGCAGTGCAAACGCTTAACTGAATCGGTTTCGATGAGCAAATCACGTCCTGTAGTGACTTGCTGAAGAACCGACTAAACCTCGGTTATCGCAATGGTTTGGGGTACTGTTAGGACGGAGCGCGCAGCACCCGTCAGGCCACGCATCGACCCGTATCACACCACAAGTGCGTTCGTGACGCCCAAAGCCGAATTGATTCCAGATTGAATGATTAAGGCGAATCAGGCAGCTGTCATCCGATCGGTCAACCGGAATAACAATTTCGCGATCTGATTGGTGCGTCATCACGTACTCGGGGCACGTGATGGCGCCACATATATGCGTTTTGTGTCATGATCATTAATATACTCTGACTGTCGTTTTCTCAGCCGTGTTCTCTTTCCCAATTGTTAGGGGCTAGTCAAGAGGTGCTCATATAGGTCATACGTCTTGGTAAGACATAACAGTTACTAATTTCGTGGAGGGCGAAACACGATTAGTGGGCTGGGAGGAAAACAGACAGCTGACGGAATAGCCTGTCTCTCTCCGGAAGATTGGCGGGGATCATGCTTGTACTGTGAAATAACTTCACCGTTCAAATAGCTCATGGCAGTAAGATGTGATAATTGCATAAAAATAATAAGCCCTTTTATCATCCTCTCCGTCTTGATTTGCCGGCGTGGTGAGTTTATACAAATGGAGGGGTTTTTACTGTCATCCTCGAATCGACGTTCAACATTCTTACTGAATTACGAAAATGAGAGTTTAAGACGATGCAAAAAAAATTGTTGCACATAGGCCTAAGCGATGTTGTTCAGATTTGTGAACAGTCAAGGTCGTTTGTGTTTGATGATTTGATCAAGGAGTTCATGAAAATTATTTCGCATCCTCCGGCACATTATCCGAAGTAAACTCATTTTTGGTAGAGTAAAGTCCAATTAATTAAGAGCCCAATAAAACGACTGAACAAGAAACACTCACAATCAAATGTGCGGAAAACGAAGTGTACTGAAAGTATTCCAGATAGTGAGACAAGGCCGTCTGACCCCACCGTTTCGGTCACAATGTGCACAAAGGAACCACAAGTGTGTGGGGTCGACCGGGTACAGAAACGTTTGGTCGAGAAGGAACCAACTGAAATCCTGTGACCAACGGAGAAGGGACTTCGGAAACTGTGGATTGATTCTTGTAATAATCATATCTGGGGAATGTTACTGTCGATGCACTATTACATCTCACTTAACGTAAAACACCCGAAATTCGAAATGTATATTTCGCTTCCAGTCCTTTGTGCCTCCTCTTCACAATATTCCTGAACGTCTTGTGAATTCTTCTCTCATATTAATAACATCACTTGATCTTGTTCATCCAACGTTAGCGTAATCCATTTTCGAGGAATAAGAAAGCAATCCATGAATGGAATAGCAGCAAATGGGGAAAGTCGGGCTGTGTTATTTGGATTTGAACACACGACATTTGGTGCGGAGCTATAAATGGTTGTCGGACAACACTTATCTCGACCTCGCTTATCCCTCTCATTGTGACAACGGATGTTCCACTGAAGTCAACAAGGCAAGGCTACAACTTTCCAGCTCGTCAGCCATCAGTGACGAAACAGGCGATGATCTAACTCGGTGAACTTCGAATTCACCATTCCGTTAGCAAAATGGTACCTCGACGCCACACGTTTTGATACAGAGCTTTCCACCAGATTGTTAATTGTAAGCACGTTTACTCCTTTATTTGAGATGCCATTATTTTTTATCGCGTAGTTAGAACAAAGGAGCAATTGAACAAGTTCCACATAAAGCAATTTTGACAAGCGGTGGTGCACGCAAAACGGCGGTCGAAACGCGTGCTAGATTCTAAAACACTATTTTATGTGCCCCCGACTACCGTTGTCATATCCTGGATACTCTCGGGTTAAGCAGAGCTGAATGCTACCAAGCACGTCCCCGGGTTGTGAATGGGGGGATACCTTCACTGAAGAATGTTAACTGTGAATAAGTTGTAGCATATCGCAACAAATAAGCAATCCCAGGGTGTGATGGGTTTCGGGTTGGTCACCTGGCTCCTGTTTAAAAGCCACATAAGCCCAATGGCGGTATCGTGACAAAGGTCGATGTGACTGGCCTTTTAAAACTAAAGTCATTGACCCCCTCACTTCCGAGACGAGGGATTACTTCCTGCTGCCTTGCAGTTCGCACCTGGTTGTGCAAAGGCTAGAGGTGCGCCCTTAAAATAAAAGACGACGAGTGACACCAGGGACGTCACTCGTACCAAACTCCCAAGGAATTTCATGATCACGTCTGTAGCGGGCTTATCGTTTTCAAGGAGCCAGTCGCAGTAAAGTAAGTAAGCTGTGAATTGCAACGCCCTTCCACCACTACTTATTCAATACCGGTAGTTTCGAAAGCACTTGAGTGGTTTGTCTCTACATGGTACAATGGTAACATATTCGTTTTCCACGCGAGAGGTCCAGAGCTCAGATTCCGGACAGGCCAACGGATATTTACAACTGATGAACTTTAACACGAGTGAAACCCGTATAGAATGCTCTGTGCATTTGTGGTTAATTAGCTGAATTAAGGGCTGTGTGTGAAAATCTAGCTTGGAAGATAATCAGTTCAAATTTCTTATATCTTTGATTTCGGTCAATGCTGGTTTAAGTATTTTCGGCCGAGTTGATGTATCTGGCAGACCTCTCACTCGGAGCCACACAAATTTTGATGCCAAACACATTACACTCATCGTTCATTTAGTCCGTTATTTGCCAAACGTTCACTTCATGTTTTCCTATCATTGTCGCTGCTGGTAAAAGCAGCTCGGGTGATATAAGGGGCAATGCGATGTATGCGTTTATGTTTTTCTAGTGGCTAACTTACAGGCACTGAAAATTCCGTGTATTGATCGATGTATCGCAGTTATCACATATCAGGACCGGGGCTTGTTCCAAGCTACCAAAAGTTAGCCAATGACGATGATAGGATTTGAGCAACCGATCATTAACGTTGCTCTTCTGTGTGGTGGTTTGAGTTAGGGTCTTTTGCCTAATCATCTTGGACGAAGGAGCAGAAGTAAGAATTAGAACGTTGGAGGCAGTATCAATAACTTCAGGTAGAATGCTGTGACCTACATTCGACTGAAACGTTTACCGCGAATTACTTGATTGACTGATAAGCGGATGCGGTTTAACA